TGGTCAACACCATGGTCCCAGGAGCTACAGCCCTGGCCTTTCCAACCCTGGCTCCATAACCGCTTACCGCCAGGGCCTGCTCCTGCACTGCCCGCCGCTCTTCCTCCTCCACGCTCTTCCGGCAGCTCTGGCAGATCCACAGTGGCATTTCTCCCAGGAGGTTCTGCACGAGTGTTGGCACGAAGTCCGGTGGCAGCCTCTCGCCCGGGGAAACCAGCCCATTGTGGGACGGCCCTCCCCAGTCCTTGCGCTCCCGGTGACAGAGCAGGCAGCATGTCTGCACTGACTGGTTGGCAGTGGGCAGCACCTGCAGAAGGACACACACAGAGTCACCCCAGATGCGAGCTGCTGCACGGCAGGGACACAACTTGGGCAGGTGCGGGGCAGATGAGGCAGGAAACGAGACCTCAGGACACTGACACCAAACCAGAGACTAGACATGTGGGATTGCACCTTCTCCCACTGGAGGAGAGCAGCCCCAGGCTGCCCAGCTGTTGCCAGCCTGCCATGTGCCATCTGGAAGCATTTTGGACCCTTGGGAAGATCATGTCACGCTAAGGAGCCAGCCACACCACCAAGCAAAGCTGGGAGGCCACCAGCAACTCCCACTATCACCTCTGGTACAGCAGGACCAAAGGAACTCACAAGACCCACAGAAATCGCCACAAAGGGATACAAAAGGGGGGTCTGGCAGCCACAACCCCCCTCCTTGCCCATCGCAGACCCCCCACCATGTTACCCAGGAGCCCCAGGCCCTCCCATCCGCCTCTTTGTTCTGCGCAGCCGGCGGCGCAGATGCGCTGGGGTGGGGTGCAGCCCCCAGCGCTGCTTCACGGTCTCCCCGCACGCACGGGGCGGCCGGGTCGGGGCTTCCCGCCCAGCGCTGCGGCAGGAGCCAGGCCGCAGCCCGCAGCCTCGCCGGAGGCCTGACAGCCGTGACGAGCCCAGCGTGGCGCAGGCGAGGGGGGCCCCCATTGTCTGCCGCCGTGGCGGGGCCCCGCGACAATGAGCCGCAGAGTGAACTGCTGCTGCGAAACAGATGGCGTCTCCCAGGCTCAAGGTGAAGCAAAGGTCAGAGGCCAAGGAGAGAAGAGGAGGGGGAACAGCTCCCCTGCCCACCCGCCCAGCAGGCCATGGGGAGGAGGGGGCACCCAGGCCACCCTGTGTCTCAGCAGGGGCAGACGAGGCCACCACCACCACACACCGCAGGCGAGAGGATGGATGTCCCCAACCCAGCCAGCGCATCCGGACACAGGGCCCACCCTCGGGCTCCCTGCCCGCGACCCAGAGCGAGCAGCAGTGGCCAGGGGTGTCGAGGGACGTCAGGCAGCCAGAGGCGCTGGAGCCGACCTGCAGCCTATTCGGCAGACGCTCGAGCCACCTGCCATCACCCCGTGGCAGGGCTGGACCCTCCCGCAAGAAGGAGCTGTGGGAACACCCCCTGAAGCACGCCACGCCACCCAGGCGAGCACGCCTGTCCCTGATCCTAGGGATCTGCCCTCCAGAGCGCACATGGGTCTCCTGAGCAGACCTGCGGCACCTCCCTACACAGACGGACAGAGTAAAGGGCTCACAGACACCGGGGCTGGAAGAGCCCTTTGCTCTCATGCTGCTGGTCATGGCAGGGGGAATAGCATGCAATGGTGGGGGGCGGGCTCGGCAGCCGATTCACCCTCCTCAGCAAAGGCTGAGACCAGCTCTCTCTAACTGCTGGGAGAGATGAGCCCCCCAGGATGCTACACATCAATGGGAGCCCCCTGACACCCCGGCCATCTGCCAGAGGCACCCCAAAGCGCTGCTGCAGCTCAACACATCCGCAACCCAAGGCCACAAGCCGGCTCCACCACCCAGCCCAGCAAAGCCAAGGACAGGGCCCTGCCCGTGCACCCATCGATGCTGTAAAAAGTGGCTCCCACACCCCAAGGCAGCCAAGCCCCCCCAGAGACGGCCTTGAGTTTCACCTCCCACCTCAGTGATGGGGTGTCCCCCATACACACCAAGGTACCACCCCTGCAGCGTGGCTCCACCGGAGCTTCCCCATCACCACCCCCCAAGGTGCAGAGGACCCTCCAAAACCGGGAAGAGGGAGATGAGGGGCACCAGGGCCTCAAGGATGGGGTGCCTCAGGGACGGATGCTCAGAGGCCAGGGTCAGTGCGGGGACGGGGCAGGGGCCCGGGGGTCGGCCTGGGCCCTGCCCCATCCCCGCACCGACTGAAATCCCCTCAGAGACAGCCCCTTCCCCGCCGCAGGGCCTAACCCGGTACCTGAGCGGTGGCTCTGCCCGGCTCCCCGCTGCTGCCCGCCGCCGCCACCACCACCTCAGGCGGGGCGGGCGGTTCCGGTGGCGGCGGCGGTGGCGGAGGAGGGGGAGGAGGACCGGCGTCGGAACCCCCCACCCTCTCACGACGAGGCCCGGAGCCGCCGCCACCCGCCGCCGTCGCTGCTGCTGCCGCCGCCTTATTCCGCCTGCGAGTCATGGCGAGCACGGCCCGCCGCCCGCCGCAGCCAGGACAACAGCCAATATGGCGGCGCGGCCCGTCCGGCCCCTGCCCGGGGGGAAGGAGGGAGGGGGGGAAAAGCCCGGGCGAGGTGAAGCCGCTGCCGCCATCTTGCGAGAGGGCAGCCGCGCGCCACAGCGCCACCCGGCGGGGAGGAGGTAGCGGCGCCGCTGCCCTCAGCCAGCGGATCCCCCGGGTCCTAAAGCCCGCCGGTGCCTTCGGGGCGTCCCAGCCCCGACGCCGCTTCCCCGCCCCCGGCCCTGGCACACCGGTACCCCCACTCAGGATGAGCAGCCACGCTACCGGCCTTCCCGGTAGGAAGAGAGGCGGGGGTCGGTCTCTTCTCCCAAGTCACAGGAGACAGGACTAGAGGAAACGGCCTCAAGTTGCTCCAGGGGAGGTTCAGGTTGGATATTAGGAAAAATTTTTACAGTAAAATGCTTGTCAAGTGTTGGAATGGGCTGCACAGGGAAGTGGTTGAGGCACCATCCCTGGAGGTGTTCAAAAGATGGGTTGACATGGTGCTGGGGGACGTGGTTGAGTGATTTTTTTCTTTTTTTTTTGTCAGTTAGGTTGACAAACCTTGCTGGGCTGGACTAGATCCTGAAGGTCCCTTCCAACCCAAATGATTCTATGATTCCCAGAGGTGCAGTACCCCACAGCACACACATGGGTTCCAGCAGCCCCTCTGCTCCCCATCCCCGTGTGACAGAGCTCTCTGGGTACCCCAGGGTCCATCCCAGCAGCACCCTCAGCCCTAGCCACACACAGCCACACGTGGTTCTGCAGCTCCCCCGCACCCCAGTCCAGGCACACCGGTACCCCCAGGCCACTGCAGATGTGCAGCAGGCTGCCCTGGCCTTCCTGCATGACCCCAGGGTGTGCATGTGGGTTTCCAGCACCTTTGTACCCCATCACCCTGTAGCAGTGCTCTCCAGGTACCCCGGGTGCCTCCTGGATGTGCAGTACTATGGCATCCTTGGAGCTGTGGGACCTGCCCCCCCGTGCCCCCCGTGCCCTCCTCCCAGTGCCCATGGGGCATGTCCATGGGGGTCTCCTGCCCCTCTCTGCAGTCCCCGTGCACCAGGTCCCACAGCCCTAAGGTGCCCCCCACCCAAAAGAGCTGGGGGACGGCTCAGCCCCTCAGCTCCCTGCCAGTCTCAGTGCCACCACGTCACCTCAAAACACCCCACCATGGCATTGGGATGCGTGAGGCTGGGACTTGCTCCGTACCACACCTCGTGTCATTGTAGGTGACCCCTCCTGTGTGGTGGGACAGAGCCAGGTGCTGGTGACACGGGGATGCATGGAGCACTTGGCCACCAAGTGCTCCTCAAAGCCCACTGTGCCCCCCAAAACGGCATGGCAGCACTGTCCAGAGGTGTGGAACAGGGAGGGCTCCAGGCTCACTGTGCCACAGAGACCCCCAGCCATGGCAGGACACGCTGCCCGTCCAAAACCAGAGCTGGAGCCTGTGGGGACACACAGAGCACCAGTGCCCGGGCCAGCCCCACACCAGCCCCACACCAGCCCCGCACCCAGCCAGCTCAGCTGTGACTCAGGGACTTCCTCAAGCCGAGGTGGTGCCGCCATGTTTATTTAATCGTCGGTGGATTTTTTACCTGTGAATCCGCCCCATTAGGCTTTCAGCCACCCGAATTATTGGCACCCACATCCTGTGCCCAGCAGTGCCAAGCCTGGCGCAACGCAGGAGCAGCCACCTCCTCTGGCACAGCCGGGGCGGTTTGCTGTGCACAGTGCCCCCAGCACCCCCTGGGACCTCTCCTTGGCCACTCTGCTCCACTGAGGGGCTGCTTGGACCCTTTCCCACTGCAGCACCCTGCTCTGCACCCCCATCCCACACAGCACATGCCACAGAGAGCAGGCGGGGGCCTCCCCCCCAGCCCGGGGACACCCGTGGGGGCTGGGGGGGCGGATCTCTGGGGTGTCCCTGTCGCCGGAAAGTTGTCCCTCGGGGGCTGCGGGTTAGAGGGGAACCGGGAGGAAAGAGCCAAGGAACTTGGAGGGGAAGGCCTGGGCACCGGGAGGGGAGAACCGGAAGCCTGGGGGTTGCAATCGGGAGCCGGAGTCACGAACCGAGACCGGAGGGCGGCACCGGGAGGGGGAGCCGGGGCAGCCGGCGCGGGCACCTTGCTCGTCCCACGGGGGACCCGCCCTCGCCCGTCCCGTCCCAGAGAACCGGTCCGTCGAGCGGCGGCCGCCTCCCGCCAGCCGGCAGCGGG